ATTGACAAGTTAAACATTCACATTGATAGGAGTGTAAATTGGCCTGCGGCCCGTGGGCGGCCCGAAACCAGCCCGCCGCCGTGAATATTCATATTATCAACAGGCCAAGCCGGGCTTCAGGCTGCCTACGGGTCATGGGCCAATTTTACACTCTTGTCAATGTTACTGTTAATGTTAATATGTCAATGTGAATATTCACATTGTGAACGGGCCGGTCCGGGCCCACCCCGGGCGGCGGGCTGGTTTCGGGCCGCCCACGGGCCGCAGGCTAATTTTACACTCCTATCAATGTAAATGTTAACTTGTCAATGTGAATATTCATATTATCAACAGGCCAAGCCGGGCCTTTTTTTTGGCCTGTGGGCCGGCCCGGCCCAACTCGAATTTTTCCGGGCACCCACGAGGATCGACATGGGCCGGGCCCCTACACATTGACGATATGAACATTTACGTTGACGGTGTGAACATCCACATTAAGGGTATTTTGGTAATTATGTCACTCATAAGACTTATTGAAATTTAAGAAAATAATGTGAACTAAATAGAACGTAAGTAGATGAAAAAGGTATTTTGGTCTTCTTATCTCAAATTGGACCTAATAGAATAGTCAAAAAGAATATGAGTTGGATGGAATAAAACTCTTAGAAAATAGATTTATCAAAAAAGCTCCCATTTTTTAATCCTAACCCTAACTCTAACCATTCCCATCACTCCTGGTCATAGCCTACCCTCCCCGTCACTGTTTGCCATGATCTCCGATCGATCGTGGTGACACTTCATTCAACACAGTGGTGTTTCTTCAAACAAAACAATAATTCAATCCAAAAAAATTAACAAAGGAAAAAAACAAACCCCCTTTCTATTCTCTCTCTACCTATTCCCTATACTTAGATCCCCGTAATGGCCACCACCAAACCCATCATCATCACTCCCTCCTTCATCTTCTTCATTCTCTTCAATTCTCAATAGTCCAATCTCAACCCAGACTGCTCCAACCGTTGGATCCACATTCGAAACCTCCTCATCCAATTCAACCTTGACCTCCTCTTTACTTGCTTTGATTTCCCTGTCTTCATTGACTTCTGCCCCTACCTACCCAACCACGGCCTCGGACCCAAGACCCAGAACCATAGCCACAGCTGGTTCCACACCGACCTATTCATGCTCGAACTCATCTTCCACCGCCACATGGCGAGACTTGCATGGGATATCAGCCAACCCATATCAATCCATCAACCACCCATTTTCTGTCAGAGAAACCAAAGCCAATCGACCCTCGATCTCCACAGCAGCGAGGGAAATTCTTTATTTTTACCCTCTCCCTCTTTTTTTTTTTTTTTTTTTTTTTCTTTTTTTTTTTTTTTTCTTCCTGGGCACCATTGATAGCTCTTCTTCTATCTTTCACCATGGATGTTTTAATGTATGTAGCTCTTATTTTGGCCTTGACAGTGGTCCATTGAAATGATATGTCTTTCCCAAAATGCTAGTATTTATTTGCAATTTCCCCAACATAAAATGATTATATTGACCCTAAAACCTTATTTTACAATTATTTATTTATTTATTTAATTGGATCAAATTACATAAGAAATTTAAACATCACATGGCATTATTTAGTGAAAATAACATTAAAGTGTAACTAGGGTGGTTTGGTATCCCTTATATAATCCATCTTTTTATCTTTTTTTTATCACATTATCTTTCTATTTTTCTACACATCTTTTCGTAAAAAGACAAAAAATACACTTATTTAGATCATCTCAAACAATTCCTAAATCTCAATTAATCAAGTGGTACTAAATTGACTCTGATTTGACTTGTTTATTTATCGTGTCATTGTATTATGTTATAATTAATTTTGTATTGAAAAATGTTCATTTCTAATCCACTAAATTCGTATAGCATTCATATCATGTTTTGCATGTCATATAAAATTTTTCCTCCCCCAATATGGTGTGTTTTTTTTTGGTTCTTCAATTGGGGAAGTGATAGTATACGTACTCAAAAATAAAAAATTATACATGACATACACTTTAGAATTTTAGTTACAATAGTTCATTATTAGTACACCAATTTGGGTTATAACAAAAACCAAATTGGATCATAATTAAAGACCACAAAATTCTCATAATCAAGACTTCTCCGGTTCATAAGAAAACACCACAAAACCTCATAGTCAAGGTCATTTCAATTCATAACTAAACACCACAAAACCTCCCGGCTAAAACCAATATGGTTCATTAAAAAAGAAAAAGAAAAAGTGAGACACCTTGATTAACCAATCACAACAAAGGCTCATAATCATACTCACCAAAAACAAATGATTCATAATTAAGATTAAGTTAAAATTTTCCTAAAAACTATTGTGGCTGAAATTTTGAATACATTTGTTATGTGCACTTTTGTAGTGTGTATAGATACTATTATTTCCCGAATCAATTTTATATAATAAGACCAATTGTGTACTCCAACACATTCCGATGAATTCGTAAAAACAATCAAAACAAGTAATAAAATTGCAAATTATGGGAATGAAATCAAGAGAAAGCTTTACCTTGTTGCAAAACTTGAAGGGATTCAGACCAACTGGGCAGAGACGCATCAAGACTTTCAGATATAGAATGAGAAAGAAATGAGACAGAAAAGTATCAAAATAGAAAGTTATTCTTGCTTGTTCTTCAACTTTGTCATACATTGGTCTACAAGATGAAGGGGAAAGGAAAGAAAATTCAGAGAAGGCACTGCACCTTCCATTTAGCGACAAAACATAACTGGGCAGAGACGCATCAAGACTTTCAGATATAGAATGAGAAAGAAATGAGAGAGAAAAGTATCAAAATAGAAAGTTATTCTTGCTTGTTCTTCAACTTTGTCATACATTGGTCTACAAGATGAAGGGGAAAGGAAAGAAAATTCAGAGAAGGCAGTACCTTCCATTTAGCGACAAAACATGCACTACATACAGCAATGATGGCACAATATTGCTTATCATGTTAACCTGTAAGCATTTGAACAATAAGACCTATGTGCAATATTATGAGGTGAATTGTGGGAGTTTTAGATTGTTCTTCCCTTATTTCTTCATTATGTAATATTCTATTGACTCTAAAACTCTTTGATATGGTTTGATGTCAATTCCCACAGCTACCTATCTTTCAATTGGTCTTAGAGATTTTCATATAAAGAACTGGCTAAAAAACTAAAACATCAAAAACAAAGATAATTATTTGACTCAAGCATAAATCCCCAAATGAGAGGGCATCACTAACTTTCACAAGGAAGAAGTACATGAAGAGCATAGCTTAAACATTACAGAATTCTTAAAAAAAAATAAATAAATAAAAATAAAAATTGAGTATTGCGAAAGCTTTAGGTCAAGAACAAGCTTAAAAAAGGCACATCTGATCTGTTCCAAGATGTAGGACATGCTCAAACAATGAACAGGCTTTCATAGAATTCATAAACATACTTAAAAGCATATGCACAAGAAATGTGCTTGTAACCAGGACATTCATAAAAGCCCGTTCGCAGAGCACCTTCACTGCCTTGCACTTCAGATTATAGGAAACAATTTTGCCAGGAACAGATAACACCAACGTAAAATCTTTTTCATTTGCTCCCTTCACAACACATCATTTTCCTAACGATGGGCGGGTCACACGTGTCTGCTTCTCTCTATCTCAGGAAAAAGAGATATTATGGGTCTAAGATTGACCTGGCACTTCTCAATCCAACAACAGTACTTCCTCTACATCTCAAGAATTCTGAATCCCATCTCGCAGCACTGAACAAGAAGTAAATGGCCACAGCATTCTCCAAAATACCAAATTCTCTCTTCGGAGAGAATTTTAGGGTTTGAAGGCATTGGAGTTCCTATTAGCTTCTCAGCATCAACATCAAATCGGATGTAAACATTATCGTAACTCATCCAATGAATTGAACCATTCCAAAATAACTTTTTTGCGAAAGGGTAAACTGGTGGTGCAGCAGCGCGCATGTGTGTCCAAGAAGTGCTCTCCGAAGCGCATATGTCAATTAAATAAAAGCAGCCATCACTATTCCTAATGTAACTTACCAATACAACTTTGTAGTGAGGTGATTTTGAAGGATCAAAAGCCAAATAACCACCAAACATAGAACTCAAGAAAACACCAAACTTGTTACGAAATGGTACAGAAGATGTCATAGTGCCACCATGATAGGGAAGTACTGTGGCCTTGTTTGGTTTGTATTTGAGAAATATGTTTTGAGATAAAAAGTACGAAAATTTGTTTGGTTTGCCTTTTTTTCAAAAGATGTTTTGAAAAATTATTTTGAGAGAGAGTTTTGGAAAAAATGATTGATTTGACGTGTATGAGAGAGAGATTTGTTTGGAAAATTTGTAAACTAAATAAGTTTTGGCAAAAAAAATTGGAAAAATTTGTTTGGTTTGATTACTTTTGAAAACTTATTTGTAGAGAATTTTTCTCAAAATTTTTTGAGAAACACAAACCAAACAAGGCCTGTGTATTTCTGGGTGGTCGGGTTACAAACAATGAAACACGTTGGGCCATTCAAGCAAAATAGTAAGCCTTTGTAAGAGTCATCAATCCTAAATGTACCAGACCCATATCCAACACCATCAAGAAATGACGAAGTCGGAAGACTTTGGTGTTGGCCGTGAAGTGAGACAGACTTGACTTTTTCATCGTCAAATGATGTAACAGGGTTGATGAACAGTCCTGAGAACAAGGCACTGGGATGTTGGTTAGCGTGGTTGCGAGAAAATGGTGAATTGGAGATTAGGGAGAACCAATCCTTAGACACGCACTTGAATCTGATGACGAACTTTGCCGGCACACGGGTAAGGATCTCTGTTAGAATATCTACATTGCTGCCAATTAATTCTGTTGCCAGTGTATGTTCCGATGAATTGTAGCCAATAACTAGTGTTCCTTTACTGTTGGTCAGTTTTCCCTGTGCATAACCAAGAACAAGAACAGAGAATACGCATCTCCATCAAACTAAGTTAAATTTCAGCCCAATTTTAGTTAAAAAATTACTTTTTCTATTTTAACTAATCACAAATAAATGCCACTGCTAGAATTCCTTTTAGTCAAGCATTTTCCTTACAACTATGATGTGCTCTGGTCACTATTATAATTCATTACAGAAATCTCCCATCCTTCACCAAATCTAGTGTCAAATTTGAATTTGATGACAATGACTCCAATCATTTCATCAAATTTGTATCAAATCAAGTTTTAACCTAACTTTTCATCAAATCAAGGCAAAAATAAGTTTTTCACCAAATTTGATGAAACAAACTTTTGGGGATAAGCATGGAATTTTTAAGAGTTGGGCATCACTTCAGTGGCTCGTAAGGCCCACTACAGGTCTTGTGTCGATGGTCCAAACCGTTCATATCATAAGATCTTTTGCATATATCATCTATCAAAACAATTAGCTCAATCCGATAATCGTAATATTTTCCTTTACCATGTTTGTCTCAAAAAAATATGAATAGTCTATTTTAGAAAACATACTCATTGTCCATTTTTTTGGAAACAAACATGATAAAATGAAAAGGTTACCATTATCCGATTAAGATAATTTTTTCATGGATGATATACACGGAGGCCTCCTACATGAACAGTTCGGATCATCGAAACATAACCTGTAGCGGGCCCCACGAGCCCCTCAAGTTCTCCTTTCTAGTTCTCTCAAGTTGAGATTTGCACTTGAGAAGCCAAACCCAATTTTCAAAATGAATTTGATGAAATTTTTTAAGTGAGGATTGGAGCATTCAAAATTTTT